TACCATAAAACAATCTGAAGGTTGAGCTGAGAGAAAGGGACCTTGATTAATTTTGGATGTTGAGATGTCCAGCCGCACTGTCCCTATTGTGGCTAGGCGTCCTTATTTTCCTGCATGCTTGTACTCCTGAGTCTTGTTGTTTGAGGCTTCTATTTCTTCTGACAATCTACAGCTTTATGGCCCGCTTCTCCGCAATATAAATACAAGTTTTGTTCAAACCGTCGCTTCTTTTCCTCAACTGTGAGGGGTTTGAAACGTACCGCATCAATTTGCATGGGTTCAGGATCTGTGGAGTGATTCTCTGGACCTTTTGAAAATGTAGCAAATGCTCCATCATTTCTCCAGCCTGATCGTCTTTCTTGTCGTAATTCAAAGAGGCGATTGTCACAAATAATTGCCTGAGATATAAGTTCTTCTAAAGTATCCGCCTTAGGCATGGTGATCAATAAGTTCTTGACATCATCTCTCAGTCCATATCGAAATCGTGTCATGAACGCCTTATCATTCCAATCAAGATCACATGTAAGCTGTTGAAATTCTATAGCATAGATTGCAGCAGAACGTGATCCTTGTCGCAGATTTTGTATCTTTCTTTCAGCCACTCTTTCTCGATCACTATCTCCAAACGCAGCAGTAAGTCTCTCTATGAAAGCCTCTAGGTTGTACAATATTGGAGAATCCTTCTCCAATAGTGGAGCAAGCCAAGAGCGAGCATTTCCTGATAGAAGAGTACCTATGAAAGCCACCTGGGTAAATCCATTCGGATAACGAGAAGGGTATAGGCGTAGGTAAAGCCGTACTTGTTGCACAAAACCTCAGAAGTTGGCTCTTGTTCCGTCAAACTTGTCTAGCATAGTCGCTTTTGGTTCTTTCGTACTAATCCTTGAAGTATCTATAGGGGTCGTATGTGACACATGTCTTGCTTCTCTCAGTCGAATAATCTCTTGTTAAAGGCTATGAATTTCGCGTCTAGCTTCTTCGGTCACTAGATCAATTTGAGGTTCTTTACTTGGATTGCGAAGAAATGCAATCTCTTTTCGTATACTATTCATAAGAGCTTGAAGATCTGCAAGAGTTGCCACTCTATTATCTACTTGTGGAGATGCACTGTCTATGACCTGGTCTACTTCCATATTTAGAGAATAGATGGATTAAAATTTTGAGAGAAGAAGAAATTACTAAGTCTCTTGGAGAAAATTGTAGCACTACTTGTCACTAAAACCTACTCGGAGAAAAGAAAAAAGAAAAACACTAAACGATTTCAGTTTTAGAGGAGGGTAATCCGCAACCTCTAAAAATGCCTCAATGCTTTCGAGAAGAGGGGTAATCCGCACTCTATCAAGAAGGCAAAGCTCTGAAATCGATGTTAACAGTTTTTTCTACTAGCTATGCTAAACAAAGAGAAGGAATTAATATCAGTCCAAGAGAGGGTAATCCGCAACCCTTAAAACGCTCAAGTATCTCCAAGGAAAGGGGTAGTCCACTCTCTGCCTCAAAGAACTAAGCTCTGATATTAAGATAAAGGCAGTCTCGACAAACTGTCACGGACCAAAAATACAAACAAGAAATCTAAACAAGAAGTTCAAGAAGAAATGACAAGAACTAGATTATCAGATGAGTACAAGAGTAACGCCAAGAGAATTGAGCTAGAGCTTCAAGAGATGTGTTGTCGAGACTGAAGAACTCTTCAGCCTCGACTCCTATATATACTACTAACCTATGGTTCTAAGGAAGCGCATCAAGAAGCTTCCCAAGAACTATGAAGCTTCTCGAGCAACTATCCAAGAGCTAGGAAGCTTCTCAAGTAACTTCCTAGAATCTACTAGAATATTCTAAGAATCTTCTAGAGCCTTCTTAGAGAATCTTTAGGGAATCTTCAAAGAATCTTTAGGTAATCTTTGAAGAATATTCTAAGAGAATATTTAAGGAATCTTCTGGAAGTTTCTAGAGACTTCTTTCTAGAAGGTTCTAGAAACTTGTCTCTAGAAAGGTCTAAGGACTATGTCCCTAACAAATTGTCACTCATCTTGTAGGACTACCAATTCATGATGATATATCCATGCATAATGTACCTTCAATTCTTATGAAAAACAATCTTAGAATTGAAAGGAATAAGAACAAGTTGAGTAAAGAATTATCTATTCTGTATTGTGCTACAGATGATATTTGGGACAGACCATCTATTACAGTAGATGAATCATTTACATATATGATTATAGAAGCCCTTTCTTGTGAGGAAGACGATCTTGAACCTCAAACCATCGAAGAGGTAATGCATTGCTCAGATTGGTCAAAATGAAAAACTGTTATTGAGGAAGAATATGCCTCTTTGCGTAAGAGGAAAGTCTTTGGTCCAATTGTAGATACTCTTATATCTCGTCCTGTGGGATATAAAATGGTATTAATATACAAGCGAGATGCTCAAGGCCAAATAATCCACTATAAACCTCGTCTTGTTGCTCAAGGATTTATTCAACGCTTTGGCATTGATTATGAATCCACATATTCTCCAGTCATGGATTCAATTACATTTCGATATATTATTGGAATGGCAATTCATGCCACCTTTGAGATGCATCTGATGGATGTAGTAACTGCATATTTATATGGTTCTCTTGATGCAAATATTTATATGAAAGTTCCACCTGGCTTAGAAACAAGAACTCCAAATCAATCCGCTCTAGAAAAATATCGTAGTATTAAATTATGTAAGGCCTTGTATGGTTTAAAATAATTCGGACGAATGTGGTATGAACGTCTTTGAGATTATTTAATTACAAATAATTTTATAAGTGATCCACTAATCCCTTGTTTATTTATCAAATGAGATAAAATTGGTTTTGTGATCAACGTTGTATATGTTGATGATCTTAACCTAGTGGGCACTACATCTGCATGTATTACAGCTACAAACCTACTTACACGTGAATTTGAGATGAAAATACTAGGAAAAATAACTTTCTGCATTGGTCTTCAGATTATGCATTTAACAGATAGTAGCATTTTTCTCTACCAACTAACGTATATTAGACGAAACTTGCAAAGATTTAATATGATTGATGCTTATCCATTGTCCACACCAATGATTAGACGTGGTCATGATGGTCATGATCTATATCGTCCATGCAAGGAGGAGGAGGAAATATTGGGAGACCAATATCCATACCTCGCAGCGATTGGAGCACTTTTGTATTTAGCTACATTTATAAGACCAGATATTAAATTTGTAGTTAGTGTAATTACAAGACATAGTGCACATCCAACACTACGACATTAGAATGGCATCAAATATTTATTACGTTATTTAAAAGGTACTAAAGACTTGGGATTATACTACACAAAATCCGCAGATTCAAAATTGGTTGGATATTATGATGTAGGATATAAATCTGATATTGCAACATCTAAATCTCAAATAGGATATGTATTTTTAAGACATGGAGCTGCAATATCATGGAAATCAATGAAACAAATAATAACTGCAACTTCATCCAACCATGGAGAAATTATTGCCTTACATGAAGCATCTCGAGAATGTATTTGGTTGTGATCAATTGATAAATTCATTCAAACAACTTGTGGATTTTCATATGATGATTCTCCAACTATCTTGCATGAAGATAATAGTGCTTGTATTGCACGGATGCAAGTTGGTTTCATTAAAGGCGATAGGACAAAGCATATTGATCCAAAGTATTTTAGTTATACTCATGACTTGATTACTGATCAAGTATTTATAATTAAGAAATTTGAATTTACAAATAACCTTGCTGATCTCTTTACCAAAGTTCTCCCATTAAGCAACCATCGTTGACTTACTTATGGCATTGGTATGTGGCGACTTGTTTTTCTTAAATAAGAAATTTAATGAACTCTTTAAATAATTAAAGAAAATGATGTTATATTCTTTTTCTTTCATTTATGGTTTTGTCCTTAAATAAAATAAGGTTTTCCTATATAAGATTTTAATGAGGTAACAATTATTAATCTTGCAAGATCACAGAAAAGTATAGATCATGATTTTATACAAATTTTATATTATGTAAATATTATGATGAGCGAGGAGGAGTGTTGAGATCATTAAATGTAGCCAACGCTCTCCATAATATTTACTGTAGACTACAGTAAATACTGTAGCTATAGTATTCAGAGTCTAGTGGAGAAGTATTGTTTATCCTCTCCTCTTTTTTCTTCTTGTATACGAGACACAACCAGATCAATAGATTGTGTGTGTGTGAAGCTCTCTTTCCTTAGAAACCCTCTTATGTGTATGACTTAATACTACTTTTGTGTGTGTATGAAGCTCTCTCTCCTTAGAAACCCTCTTGTGTGTATGACTTACTACTACTTTTGTGTGTGTGTATGACTTACTATTACTCTTGTGTCTTTCCAAATATTCTCAACAATACCAAAGTGTAAAAGGGTATTGGAGGGAGTGAAAAAGTGGCCAGAATAATAGAGGTATGGAGTAGAACTATACTACGAAGGTGCGCATGGTGAAGAAGAAGAAGAAGGAGGATAGCAGATGGCACGGCCCTCGAAACTGTGAAGATTGAACCCACAAAGACGTCACGACGACGACGATTTCGCTCTGCCCAATAACAAAGGTCAAGCAGACCTTTGTTGATTTTATCGGAAATTCTAGAAGGGGGGAGTAGGGGGGGGGTGGGGGGGAGAAATTGGGCATTGGTAGGGCCCAGATGCGGTGAATGCGTCTCAAAAGCACTGGAATATGAACATAAACATGAGGACGCCCAATAATCGAGACACTGCAACTGTTTGAAGGCACTACCTTGTCATACGGAAGCCTTGTCCAAACTTTAAATTAATTTAAACAAACAAGGTTGCTTGCGTCATCCCCCATTCCCTGCTCAAACAACATCAGGGCCCACGTGTCGTTCTCCGCGCTAAATCTGTTACTTCCTTGCAAATGTGTCATGTCTACGTTTCATAGGTGCTTAAGCTTTTTAAGCATTCGAAGTAGAATGAATGATGATACGGACGCCTTTTTCCTGGGTCCAGTTCTGACTCGCGAGTCGCATTGGATTTCGATTCAGGGGAGTTGGTTGAAGATAGAGAATTTGGTGATGTTTGGATTAATAGTATTTATGACATTTAGCGATGAAGTATTTGTGAAATTTAGAATGATGGGTTTTTTCGGATATAAAGTCATCTTTTTCCCATATCAACGGATGGTCTGAACTTTGGTACGAGCACTAGGACTTGGTGGGTCGACTGACAACATTGCTTTCCCTGCCTCAGTCCCTTTCGAGCTGCTTTGAAATACCTTCACGATATTATGCACCACTTGCCTTGTTGCAATAGCTTTTCCTTGAGCAGACAAGGTTTTTCTGAAGCCAATTTGCCCTGGTCGTCTTGAATTCATACTGGTCGCACAGCTGCAGAGAATTTCTAGTGGTGGGTTTTCTTTCGGTCCCTGTTCTTTGCGCTTGTGTTGGAGATAGTTTTGTTGTTTGTTTCTGAATTCAAGATATTTGTGCCAACCAAGTGGAAAGATCTCACGTCCTTTTTTGATGTTTCGGGTTGGACGTCTTCTGTTGAAAAGGCACGATTCGCTTGAATATGAAATTTGGATGTTGACAGAGAGATCGCTTTCAGGTTTGTCAGCTGCTTGTGATTGGAATGTGCGATCGATACTCGCAACCTAAATATTTCAATGTCTGCTGCTTTGTCTATGGCTGTTTTTGGTTTTGTTCTAGCTATTTGAGGTGCTGATTTAGGATATCTTTGACGACATCGAACTCGAAATGTAATTGAGAGATTTGTTCCTCTCTTTGGTTGTGTTTCCACTTTACATGTCTTTCGGGTTCCTTGAAAAGATTTATCCTGTGTATGAGTTACATGCACGATCTTGCGTTTCGTTATCTAACGCCTATCTGGCCGCGTTGCTTGGTGCATCTTTGAAATCACTTTTTCTCCGCACCAACTAATTCACAATATATCTTGTACCTTCACATTAATTTCAACTTTCGATTTCTTCTTATCTGTAAATGACCCAGGGGTGATGTGGACTTAGCCTGCTCATGGCTGATTCGTGCTCTATTGATGCTATCATACAGAAAGATAACCAAACAATCCTGCAATGGAGAATCAAATGAAGACAGTCTGTAAGGACGCACCCGATGTGCTGGACTTGGATAACAGTACACTAATCGGAGGCGGTGGTGTGGGCGATGCATACGGTGAAGATGCCGCTACAGAGGATCAGACGTTCACTCCTTGGACCCGGGTTGTTGCGAGGCATGATCTCTTCACATATAGTTCGTCCTTATTGTCTTTTCCTGCAAAAACATTCGTACTCTTTGCTACTCAAATACAAGGAAACTCGCCAAAAAGTAGTAGAGAATATTTTGTTTGTTTACCTCAGAATCACACTGGGTCATCAGGTGTTATCATCAAGCTATGAAGGGTAGCTATTTTCCTAAGACTTCTGGTTGTTGATGCTGGATACTCAAGCTTAGCATGTTTTGTGATGATCTGAATTTAGTTGGTGTGTATAGTGGGCTGGAGCTGCTGAGAGACCCACGTTACAACAAGGGTCTCGCATTCTGTGAGGAGGAGCGAGCAAGGCATTACCTGCAAGGTCTCCTTCCTCCAGTTGTCATGTCACAAGAGCTTCAGGTGAGCTTTGGATACTTTTTAGTGTTATATGTGCTGATAGAAGATCCTTAAATAGGTGGGCTAGTCAACGTACTTTCATAAACCTGGACTTGATCTTTCTCGTTCGCTTAGTTGGGTTATTGTTCTACTCACTTTGTGAAATTTGTTTGATGGATTCCTTCACACAGTTTTTATGTTGATATGGCCTTGCCATTCGTGCCAGTGACGGTATGTGACATGTTGGTGACAGATTCAACGAATATTACAAAATGTGCGAGCATACGAGACTGACCTCGAGAGATACGTTGAAGTGATGGATTTGCAGGTTCTTATTCTCCTACCTGTGTAATTTCGTTTTCGAACTTACTAACAGGCATTTCAATTTTCATTCTATCTTAGAAAGTTACTATTGAAAGTAAAGTATAAGGTTCGAATTTTTTTTTCTTGCCAAATAATTTCTCACAATGATATTTGTATTTAACTACTTCTGTAGTTTAATATGTTCCAGTTCCGGCCTTTATTATGATTTAGAACACTAGAGCATGTAATGATGTGTGGAATTTATGAATATCAAACAGGAGCGCAATGAAAGGCTTTTCTACAGGGTTCTTATTGATCATGTGGAGGAGTTATTGCCAATTGTGTATACTCCAACTGTGGGAGAAGCATGCCAAAAATACGGCAACATATTCCGTCGTCCTCATGGTCTCTACATTTCACTGAAGGACAGGTTAACTATTTCTGTGATGTCCATATTCATTCTTCTAGTCTTTCCTTGTTGTATACTTGGAATTTTATGCCTATCTACTTCCTGCTTTTGAATTTTGGGATGTTCTGAAGGACAGCAAGAAGCTTTGGTCCATTTTGCATGCGAAGAAATTGACTTTCTGTAGAAATCTAAACCTTGCTTAATATCTAGGTGCAGAATTTTTTTTCTGTTGCTTCATAATCGAATACATGCAAATATGCTTGTAACAATGATCATTTACATGTGAATGGCATGACTCATGTGCAGAGGCCATGTGTTGGATTGCATGAGAAATTGGCCGGAGCCGAACGTGCAGGTCATTGTCGTGACGGACGGTGAACGGATTCTTGGGCTTGGTGACCTTGGATTGCAGGTATGTGTGACAAAGTATTGTTTGTTTTCTTTACCGCTCATATAATTGCAGGAATTGATTTTTCCAGAATATTTCGTTGTGCTTCGAACTTGAGCCGTTCGTAATATTGTATTACCCTCTTTGGTATCATTTCTGCAAGAGAATATCTTTTGACAAATATGCATGGACCATGCATGTTTGTGACAGGGGATGGGTATTCCAATTGGCAAGCTTGCTCTGTACACAGCTCTTGGTGGCATTCGACCCTCCGCCGTAAGTGTGCATGATTGCATTTCCATGACTGCTTCATCATATATATATATATGATTGAATGATACCAAATATCAAACTCCGATGTGAAGCTCATTTCCTTTGGGAAAAGCTAGATTCTGGAATTTGTAACTTCTTAAATTGAAGGATTCTTCTGAAATTTTGAAGGACTTAAGTGGCATTGGTGGTGATGCAGACTTTACCTGTTACTATCGACGTAGGCACCAACAATCAGGATCTTCTGGACAATCCATTCTACATTGGGCTACGCCAGAAACGAGCCACTGGCAAGGTAACGAAGTGTCGGACTTCATTGGAAGTATTGAGGTGTTTTGTCTTTCATTTGAGTAGAGTCTGACGATATCTGTTGGTTGGTGCATGGGCCTGTCCAAGTAGGAATATGACGAATTACTGCATGAATTTATGACGGCCTGCAAGCAAGCTTACGGAGAGAAAGTACTTGTTCAGGTATTATTACAATAATTCACCATCTTTTTAAAAGCTTGGAACTATAGTTGTGTCTTGGCGTTTCGATATTCGAGATTCCGAATCGAATATTAGGAAGAGGATTGTTTACCCCGTGAACGTACCACTGAATCTCCAAGGGGTTCTCTGCAATTTTCTTCAATAACATTTCAAAATTCATTCATTAATGCATAGAAGTGTTTCACATTATCTCAGCTGAATTCAGCTTACATGATTTTCTATCTTGGTGGGTTGGTGAACTAAAAAAATTACAGTTTGAGGATTTTGCGAACCACAATGCTTTCCGTTTGCTTGCGAAGTATAGTACTTCACATCTTGTCTTCAACGACGATATTCAGGTTTTTCTTCCATGCTAAGCTTACCAGTTGAATGTGTAAACAAAATTATTGGTGAATCTTCTGTCCTACCCGGTGTACCTTCCTTTGGTTAGCTCCATGCAGCCAGCTTAGGTACCGTATCTTCAATGCGAAATGAGAACTAATATCTTTCTGAGTTTTCACTTATAATGTAAAGCTACAATGTTTAAGTGTTCTTTTCTGAGGCATACTTCGTGGTTTTGTGGAAAAAATATCTGCAGGGAACTGCAGCAGTTGCACTTGCGGGAGTGTTGGCAGCCTTGCCTTTAACAGGGGGCACACTTGCTGATCACAAATTTCTTTTTGTGGGGGCTGGTGAAGTACGTTTCTGCTTCTTGCTCCGTTCGTTCGCTTGCTGATTATGTGCTCTACTTTACTGCATGATTTCCGCGTCTTCGTCCAACTCTTTGGTTAACCTTTTCATCCATGCACAGCCTGATTACTCTACGTGTCAGAAGCAGGCCGCGTATTTCTTTCGAGCACTGTCAGAATCTGGTTTGGTCTTGTGGTAGAAAGCAACCAAAACATAAAATTGACGACTGTTCCTTGCTTCTGCTAGGCTGGAACAGGTATAGCTGAGCTTATTGCCTTGGAGGTTTCCAGACAGGTGAGTGGGATATCCGGACTGCGAATTGATCATTCTGTGCGTGGAAACTATGTAACACATACCCTGCGCAGTGCAGTTTACTGAGTCTTTCGAATAGAAGTTGCTTAAATCCTACTATCGTCTAGTCTGGCTTAGAGAGGGTATGGATGTGTGATATCACATTATTGTTATGCACTTAGATTAGAGTCTTCTTGGTTTATGTGTAATAGGAATGACGTTTTGACACTGGAAATTGAATTTCTGCTTGAATATTACAGGGAAATACAAGTCTGGATGAGGCCCGGAAAGCAATATATCTTGTTGACTCCAAGGTACTGCTAGTTCGTGTATGTTCTTTTGCAAAAAGATAGTGATAGATGCATTTCACAGTTATCCGACGTAATCATTTCATCTATCTCATTTTAGAACTTCTTTCTTGGCAGGGTTTGGTGACAAAATCAAGATTCGATTCACTTCAGGAATTTAAGAAGCCATTTGCTCATGATCTCAAGCCTAACTCCGAGCTTGTAGCTATTATCAAAGTACAGATGACCACATCATGTGACTCTTTTGCGAAACTTCCGTTCCACATTAGGCTCCCTTCTTTGTCTTGAGAGTCTGTTCATGATTTTGGTTTTTCAATGTTGAAGTACTCAAGTGCGTTTTTACAAAGTCATAAATGGTGAGAAGCTTATTCCGTAGGAAATATGGGTATTGATTTCCAGGAGATCAAGCCAACAGTGTTAATTGGTACTACTGGAAAAGGTGGGCAATTCACACAAGCGGTTTTGGAGGAGATTTCTTCGTACCAGGAGGTTAGCAATCTGAGGCTCTAAACCTTCTTTTAGTAACCTTGATTTTTCATCTCTATCTGTTTAGACCACATGATCAGATCTTGTTGATTAGAAAAAGGTTCAGGTTACCGTAATAGTCGATCAATTTTGTGAACAAGTATTGATATAATTGCAGATCGACAAAAGCTGATTATTGCGTTGTAATGTCGAATTGCATATATATATATTTTAGTGCATTCTTACAGCAGTCTAATTGCATTCCCAAATGTCAATGCGCAGAAACCCGTCGTCTTCGCACTCTCCAATCCAACCACTCAGTCTGAGTGCACCGCAGAGCAGGCTTACAAATATACTAAGGTATATTTCCTCTTGTTTTTGTTTTACGATCTGGGAATTTTTTTATTACATTATGCTTTCCTTGCACTGCACAAGTACTCTCTACATTATATGTGCAACTTCTCTTTTCTAAACTCAAGTTTAAGTCTTCACATTCCACAATAGAATGGGTGTCGTAATCGTTCCGAGTGGTAAACGCAGGGAAAATGCATCTTTGCAAGTGGAAGTCCGTTCAAGCCCGTCACTCATGAAGGGAAAACGTACACGATAGGCCAGGTTCGTAATCTGTGTCTACGTCGTGTGGACATCTTGTTCTTGCTAGCCTATTACTACATTGTCTTCGTTTAGGTGATTCTATAGATCATTGTAGATTATTTGCATGCAGTTGTGTGTGACGTTAATGACTACATTAATCTTAATGGTGTGTCGTGTTAATCTGCAGTCCAATAATTGCTATATCTTCCCGGGTATGGGCCTTGGATGCGTCATTTCAGGAGCTATTCGAGTCCACGACGACATGTTCTTGGCTGCTGGTATGTTTCGTTTTCTACCTTCACGTTGCCCATTTTCCGGCGTTGATCTTCTACAAATCTTTGTTGTGCACTCTGATATTTTGGTTTCGACATACGGTGACACTTTGTGGTGACGTGGATTATTGCAGCTGAATCACTAGCTCAAGAGATTGGTGAGGATCATCTTGAGAAGAGGCAATTGTACCCAGCTTTCAGTGAAATCCGGGATATTTCGGCCCATATCGGTGCAGCAGTGGCTGCAAAGGCCTACGACCTGGGTACATTTCTCATTCCTGTACCCCTTCTTTAATACATCTTGGTCATAAATTATTAATAATGATTCCCATGCTGAATTCTGCGAAGATTATATTCAGGTGACACTCACTCAATTGCAACATTTTTTACATGCAAATAATCTATGATTTGTTTTGCAATGATATCAAATTTGGTCGAGTCAATTACCATTATCGCTGAAAAGTTTCAGAAGTGTCGGTATATCAATTTTTTGGGATGCCATGCACTTGGGTGTCAGCAACTTCTAAATTTATTCAGGCTACTTCATTAAAAGATCTGTGAAAGTGCACCTAGAAAACGATGATACATTTTTATCAATGAACACTATTGGGTTTGGTTTGTTGCATATAGGATTGGCGACCAAGCTACCAAGGCCCAAAGACCTCCTTGCTTATGCCAAGAGCTGCATGTACAGCCCGGTGTACCGTCCATTTCGGTAAGGCAGGAAGTTTCGTTGGGTCTCTTATTTGAGCGTCACAAAGCTACAAGCAAAATTAAGTGTGAAATAGGCTTAGGTTTGTTCCCTTTTTCAGAAATATCCTGAAGTTCTGTGTGAACAACCTTGTATGAAAAAGGTTAATCGTCATGTAACCGCTTATCTGAATCCTTGTTTGATTCCTAATAATTTACCTGTCAATTGTGACTGACATCAGGAGGTAAAATTGACCATTTTGGGTGGATTAACCTGTGACCATGGGAGTCAACTCCCACAGTGAGATTTTCGCTAAATAAAACTCTTTTTACGATCAACGTCGGTCTCTTTTTGGTCAGCAATATCGTAAAGCTGCTAGAATTATTACTAGCTGTTGTGAGCATAACATCTACTTAGGCGAAGCACATGTTCTTTACAACTTGCTTGTTGCTTCTAGCCTGCAGACACCGATAAGCCCGAAATGTGGTCCATGTAACTAGACTCTTGTGATCAGGTTTCGTAACCTTTTCGCAATGCATGATCATTCTGTTGGCGATAGGGATATCGTCATCATTCGACAAGACGCCCAAATGAGTCACAGTTTCACCTACATTACATTGTTTGATCTCCCTTCCCTCTCAAATGGAATGTGCTATCTTGCAAAGATCCAGTGATTCCACAAAAGTCCTGTTACTTGTTCACGCATCCTCATCTGTCGTTTGTCGTTATAGCTTGTGTTCACACAATAAAAAGAGGTGTCCACCCAACAATCACTATTTTTAGTATTAATACTATTTATATCTTGATTGACAAGGAATGATTTTTCAATTTTGAGTATCAACAAGTTTGATGATAGAATTTATAGAAACAAGGTGTATAGAATGATCCCGATTAGGTGGATTGATGAAAGCCACCTTTTTAAATAAATATCGAAATGATTCATGAACAAAGCAAGTGCCTTTGAAGACTAATTTAAATGGTATAGGTGCCATACTAAAACATAGAAAACCTGCTCCACCTTAATACAACAAGAGTGATTTTTACATTTTCTTAGAGCCCGTAATTTCATTTATTTAGCTACAAAAAGAAGCGTTAGCTATTTGTGGCTACTTCAGACTTGACTGTTCATTTATTTGTTTGTAACTGTAGTGAAATAATGGGACGAACTTGCCCATGCTCTTCATTTAAATTATAACTGATAACAAATTTTTCATACTCCCCAATGTCCAATCTGCGGGTGGATTCTCTATGGCCCTGTAAAAGGCTGCTGACAACTAGAGAGACCATTGTTTCAATAGTTCCGATAACCGGACATACTGAGGTTCATGACGAAATATCCTATCTATACTCGGATGGTATCCACCGATGCAGTTGTGTACCGACTTTTGTAAAAGTTCTCACCACAATCACTCCGGTGAACCCATCGTCGCCTGGAGCCTGAAATCGCTTGTTTTCAGTTTTTGTGTATGAGCTCCTCATTAGGTCAAGCTGCTGCTGTAAGGGCGTGCACAGAATTGGAACCGATCGAAAGCTCACGTGGAAAGACTATCTTCTTGAGTTGGAGGTCACAACGGGCCCTCCGAGCATTGACAATTTGCGTTCTGCTGCAGATTCTAAGCTATCAATGTTTTCCATTGTGTAGACTGCAATACATTTTGAGAGGTTTCGGATCGACTGGCTTTTATTTTTGGATGTTGAAATAGATGGGGGCTGTAGATTCTTTTCCTGGGAGATGGAGATAAGTAGAATGAATTTTTCGGGGTCGTCTTCGCGTGCTGGGCGTAGCATGAATTGTAGCTCAGCTTTGCAAATAGCTCTTAGTTCGTTGAGTCTATTCAACGTGGGAAAAACTGCATCATCTAGGGTAGTATTGTTCACTGGCGATCCTTTTAATTCCCGGAAGAATCCCAGCCTCAGAACCCATGTTGAAATTAGGGATAAATTATGGGCGAATACGAGATCCGCTTCGTCGAGAAGGATTTACAAGGCAGGGATGGCGGTGGCGGTATTCAAATTGGAAGAGAACTTTGTGGTAGAGGATCCAGAGCGGGGAGATGTTAAAGAACTTGAGCCGAAAGGGACCAATGGAAAAGAAAACAAGAAGAAAAAGAAGAGGAAGAAGGAAAATGCACCTAATGATAAATTGCACAACCTGGCGAAATTGGTTGCTGTGCGTGTTGCGTCCGAGGATTTAGGCTCAGACGAAGACATAATGGGAGTGGTCCATGAGACTGGATTGCGTGTTGACGTTCGTTCTATGAACGTGGTAGTTTGGCAGCTTGGGCAGATGCGGAACTGGGATGCTGCATCCAGGGTCTTTCGTGCATTTCGAAGCGCCAGTGTAGAGCCCAATGCTCATGTCTGCACCACTCTCATTGCAGTTCTAGGGTAAGACCCCTGTTCACTGCTAGATGCTCACATTGCAGGGCCAAAGACATGTATGTACGTATGTGTGTATGAAAATTATATGTTTTTTTCAAGTTGGATTGTTGATTGCATGTCCTGCATACGGAGTATAATTACGATCGGGAGGATTCGCTTTCGCGTTGTGGTTTTGTTGTAAATGAGCTCATAGTGTACTTCGTGCTGTTACTTGGATGCCGTATACTAGATGAAAGAGTCTGATTAGACTTGTGAGTGTAGAAGTTGAGGGCTGTATGAGGTCGCTTAGTAGCAAACCTTGGATTCTCCGCTGCATGTGCAGATATGGCCGTAGATTACCCGAAGCTTTGAAGTTGTTCAGGTGGATGGAAAAGCAAGGGATTGAGCGGCCAATCTATACCTTCAATGCTCTCATGGTGGCATGTGGCAGGGTATAACACTTTCTTATACTCTGTAAGCACTTCCTAATGCATATCTCCCATATGGATATATCTGAACTGTTATATTAGAATAGCAAGTCAACAGTGCTTTTTACCTGAGTACGCACTTCTAGAATCCTAGTTAAAGTAGTGACCCTGCAAATGGAAGGACGCCTATTTACAACCAGGTGTTCAATGCACTGAATTATATATGCACCAACTATCATCTTGACTTAGCGTTGGAACTCTTAGTGTGGCGCAGGGGATACTGCTGTGGAGCTTTTTGAGGAGATGAAGGAGCTGGGATTAGCCCCTGATAATATAACCTTCAGGGGTTTGGTTTCAGCAACCACTGCTGCAGGGAAATGGAAGGCTGCTCAAAGCTTTATAAACTTGATGCAAGTAAGTCCTTGCTATCACATTTTCAAGCCGGCTGTCCACTTGCAAATAAACACTGACAATTCTATAGCTTTCAAATTGAAATGTCGAATCACTTGTTAGAAATGGATGGATAACTTTGAAGAATATACCCACATCTCGTCTGTTCAAAAAAAAGACGGGGTTCACTGAAGCAAGAAAAGTAATGTGCAGGCAGGAGGATTCTCCTTTGCAATTGGTGAATTCACTGAAATGCAGTGGGCATGTGCACGTGCGCGGAATTCTCGTGAATCCTTAGGCCTTCTGCAAGCGATGATTGAACAGGGCTGTGAACCTAGATTAGAAAACTATAATGCACTGTTATGTGCATATGAGAAAACAGCTAACTGGGAGGAGGCTGTGAGGACTGTAGTCTGGATTCAAGAGAAGGGCTTTACCCCTGATTTTATAACTTGGAGCAGTCTTCTCGGTGCGTGTGCCAATGCTGGACAAGCTGAAAAAGCAGTTGCAGTTATGGAGAAAATGAAGGAGAATAATTTTACACCGAACGTCGTGTCCTGGTGTTATCTCCTCAAAGCTTATCAGAAAACTGGCAATTGGGAAAAGACCGAGGAGATATTTCATTCAATGCTGAATTCAGGGTGCCCTCCAAACGAGGTCTTGAGAAGCTTCCATACTCTTGCTCTTTGTGTAGTGTTTTGGCATTGCATTGTTTTGGTTCATTGTATGTTTAGCTATGTAATCACAACTTTGGTGTCTTCATGTTAAGCATAGTTTTTCCTTCGCCGATTTATCGCGAATCTTTTCTTCTGTTCTCACTCACTTGTCAATTTCTATGGGATACGGTGAGGATTGTTCTCAGGAATTGAACAAGTAGTAAATGCGGTGAACTGCATCTTGTGTATTTTCTAATATATAGTTTTTGCGCAAAGCAGGTCGCTTGGAATTCACTTTTAAGTGCTTACGAAAAGGGTCGCCAATGGAAGAGGGTCCTCTACACAATTGAAAAACAGGAAGAGCTAGGTGTGAAGCTTGATGTAGTCGCATGGAGCACCACAATAAGTGCGTTGGCGAAGGCAGGCCAGTGGCAGCTTGCGGAGAAAAAAATTCGGCAGATGAAGCAGAGTGGGTGTCAACCAAATATTGTCACCTACTCTTCTCTCATCAAGGCCTATGGGGATGTTGGGTTATGGAATAAAGCGGAATCTGTGTTCAAATCGATGTTACTGGAGGGCATTAGGTACCCTTCGCCGTCCTCTTCATTAGTTTTCACGTATCATTTGCAGGGGTCCTGGATGACATGACAGGTTACCGGTGGAAAGAGAGCTTAATTGCTTTCAAATTTAGATCATTTTAGATTTACTTACGACATTTATTTCGATACTCTATTAGTTGTCAATGTTTATAGTCACTCCTCTAATCTCTCTTCCCTGTCGACTTAAGGCCGGACTCCAAAGCTTGCTGTGCACTTCTTCGTGCTTATGCCAAAGGGAGACAGTTGGACAAAGTAATGTTTTTCTTTGACTCCATGATGCCGCGATATGGTATTAAACCTGACAAGTACGCCTACGCTGCAATTTTCTGGGCTTGCTGGACCTGTGGAGAGTGGCAACGGGCTGCAGATTATATGGAGAATATGGAAGCGGCTGGCTGCACCCCCGACACTATGATATACACAACATTGATCACCATGTACGAAGCTCATGGGCAGGTTGACAAAGCCATGGAGATACTCAAGAAGATGGATAACTGATGAAATACCTGCTTTTTGTAATCATCAAAACTAGACGAATACTCTAAACTATTACATTGGTTCTACAGCTAAAAAGTATTTACATACCTGGATATTCAACGAGGTGGAATCTTTTGATCACTACTAGTGAACAGAGTTAGGATCCATGCGGAGTTATTAGTAATTGGAAATTTTCATTCTTTAGTTAGATACCATTCGTGTACAGTACTTCGATGGGAAGATACTATCTGGGCTCGATAATGTCCAGAATCAATGAAACTACCCCAATCAACCCTTATCTATTTGCAGAAAATGTGGAGCTATTCTGTGCCAATAGGGCCATATTGAATGTCGAGAACGAGGTCGGCAGATTACAGCAATCTTAGCTAAGTGCAAAACTTGAACTGATCCTTGTGATGATATGGAGGGGATTGAAAGGCTTCTCATCATTCCGAACTCTTTGCTCGATTCTGCCTTCTGCTTTGAAAGTGAGGCTTCAGGCCTCGTCAGTCAATTCCAACATCATATGTTGAGGGTATTATGGCGACCACAAGCCTTAGCGTGAGCGAGTCCTGTAACAGACCCTCAGCAACAGTGCCCAAAATTTCGCTCATATTTATACGTTTGGTACTATAGTTAGCTGTCGTCGGATCAAGTTTGTAATGGGTATCCTAGCAACATCGTTGTGGCTCAGATCACATCTACACCCATCTCTTAGGCAAGGAAGACGGAAGAGTGTAATGTCCAAATCTACACATGTACACTGTACGTCCAGTTTGCATGCAGTAAGCATCACTACATTGATAATCACATGAAAACCGTTCAGAGAAAACGCAGCAGAAGACCCGAGAATACGTTTCAAGTTTTTTTCAGTTTCCGAAACACCCCACCCAGAGCTTCTGAGGTTTTCTACAGCGGGCTTTCCAGTGTTGGGGACCAGAGAAGTCTTCAACATGTTGTGAAAGCTTGATTAGGAAGTCTAGCCACACCCACAGTTCAGAGAACATGTAGGTAGGCTAGAATTTCTCTGACTCTTCCATCTGTGGTACACATTGCGAAAGCAACATACACATCCGCCGATTGAGACAATGCAATTTTTGATAGGTAGTTCAGTTTCAACCACTGGACTTAACCGCAGTACATTGTCAACTGCCGTTTGGTCCCAGACTTCAATCATTTCTGAACCGGCCTATGTCATGGTGTTCAGTCTGGGAGTAGATAAAAATCTCACCATCCACCTGCACAGGATTTGAGTTTCACGCATCTGGATTCCTCTTGAGCGATGTCAAATCTGAAAGCTCTGACTTCATAATGAACGATGACGTCAAAACCGACGCGGTAGTCCGGTGTTCGAAAAGTTGGTTCCCACACGGGCCTAGCGAGCGGCATGGCTATCTCACAATTTAGGATTTTCATTTATTGTTACGATTATAGCGAATAGTCTAGAGAATGAAACTAAGCATGAACAACCAAGCAACAACCTGACTTCCTTGCACATTTTCCACCAAAACAGGTAATTCAGATTAGACTAATTCGTGGAACAAAGGAGATGTAATGTTCTTGGCATACCTACTGCTGTACCTACTGCGGTAACGTGAACTGGTATGTCAAAAGTTCATGCAGATCACTCGTGATCAGTACAAATGATATGGTTGATGCCCCTGTACTTCTCCAGCAATGCTTTATCATTGTTTGTTCTTAAATCCTGTTGTCATGAGACAGCTCTGGTTCAGAATAGAAGCTTGTGTGGAGGTAAACAGCGTGAACTCAGGAGTTGAAGAATTTGAACTTCACCATCAATCATGTCAGGAATCGTGAGTGAAAAGGTTGGAAGCGCATGCCTGTCTGCCAAATGCTTCCAGTTTCATGGATCCAAGCAACAAGGAACGATCGATGAGGATACACCTGTGCAAGCATTCGAAAGTTCAAACCAAGTAGAAATTGGAGGCAAGAGTGAAATCACAAGCGAGAAGGGGATTCGAGGTTTAACTGAGAGGTCCCCAGATGTGGACCAAACTAAACCTCCGAAGATTTTCAGTTTTAGTGATCCTACCATCCTAGTCACAGAGATTGTCCAGTGTAAGAAACTGCTGAATTTACATTCAAGTCATGCAACTGAGGAGTCAGAAACCAATTCTGGTGAGTCTCGAATTCTTCAGGTTGATTCGATCCTTAGTCTTCAGGAGGTTCAAGTTAAGGTTCAGCTCTCACCATAAACAAACAACCAGAAGTTGAGATGCAGCTCTCACCGTAGCATGCACTTGGAATGCAAAACTCCCCAAAGGAACACAAGAGTATTTTCTCACTCGGGAGAGAGACAATGGGAGTGGACTTGCAGGTTTGTGGAGGAAACGGACTGTGGCAGTGACTGGTGCGGGGGGTTTCATTGCTTCTTGGATCGTCAAACTGCTCCTACAGCGCGGCTTCTTTGTCAGGGGAACTCTTCGTAATCTGGGTGAGCTTTCACGAGTTCGAGATAGTGTCTAGATCAATTGATTTTTACAATTGATGCAGAATTTTGAGCATGATATTTTTGCCGAGATGGGTCTCACATTACGTCGTACCTTTGTGATCTTTGCTATTCTTTTCCTACGGTTACTTAAATACCTATCCTAGCTCAAGTGCTTTTCAACGCCTTTGGAGAATATTCATGAAATCCTTCATAACTGTGACGTTGCTGAGAAAACATGCAATAGAAGATGTCAACACAGCGCATCTAAAAAGCCTAGAGGGTGCGAATGAGAGGCTGGAGCTCGTGGAAGCCGACATTCTGGACTTTCCAAGCCTGTTGAAAGTTGTAGGAGGATGTGTGGGGGTGTTCCACACAGCTTGCCCTGTCCCTCCAGATATCACAGATCCGGAGGTTAACATTCCACTCACCTGGTCTATGTTACAAGAGTACTGAATTCTTAACGTAAGAAAACTCGGCGTTAAATATCTTGTTTCAATGTGGCAATCTCTTATAAGTGATGGTTTTAGTTCTCCGTTATGACATGACTTAGGTACAAATGCTTAGACCAGCAGTGGAGGGTACGATGAATGTGTTAAGGGCTTGTAAAGAAGCACATGTGAAGCGGGTGGTCATGACTTCTTCAATTGGAGCTGTGTACATGAATCCCAGCATTCAACCGGACCAAGAGGTTGATGAAAGTTGCTGGTCAGATGAAGCCTTCCTCAGAGGTAGGAAGGTAAAATATACTTAACACATGTCTGCTATTATTTCTTCCATTGATTTCTTAAATATCATAGGTCAAATTGCTGTGCTTTCATAGTTTTACTGATTGAGGTGCTGGTACAATTGTAGGAGTGGTACTGCTTAGCAAAACTGATTGCTGAAAGAACAGCCTGGGATTACGCCGACGCACACGGCATGAAGCTGGTGACTATTTGTCCACCTGTAACATTAGGAACCATGTTGCAGCCACGGGTCAACCAGAGTTCAAAGCACATTCTCAAATACCTCGATGGTAGCCGACACTTCACTAATGATAATTTCTCTATACATCTGCTGTTCGTTTACGTGCATTTGTACCTACAAATTATATTGAAATTGAATCTATCAGTGTTCTTGAACAAAAATCTGTGTGGGAACATTTGGAACAGCATAATCATGAACAGCATAATTTCGACCCTCATATTCATTGTTTCAAATACCCTTTGTCAGCCTGCATTAGCCTCGATTATAAATCGAAGCAACCGCATTCGCACGAATAGCATCATGCCACTGTGTTCAAGGCTTATGTAAATCACTAACCCAGCTTTTTGTGTTTCTAGGTTCAGCAAAAACTTATGCGAATCGCTGTCAAGCGTATGTTGACGTGAAGAACGCTGCAGAAGCGCATGTTTTAGCATTTGAGTCTCCGGCAGCATCCGGCAGGTATCTCTGTTGCAAGTGGTCGTTACACCGTGGCGAGATAGTGGAAGCTCTGGCTCGCATGTATCCCCAATACGCAATCTCAATGAGGTAATCCACAACCTGCAATTATTAAGTTGTTGGGCATATGCACCCTTTTGCACTGTTATGAAAACCTTTATCAGTAGCAGAAACAAATGTTTGCGTTACAGTCTTTTTCAAATGTGAAGACTTTTAGCGAAGAAGTGTCTCCTTTGCCCTTCTATGTAGCTAAATACTGTTACGAAATGTGCGTGTAAAAGCATCTTCAACACCTTTACGAGGGTTCGTGTAAAGAAATCCGAATAATGCTTTGAGGCGTCTCCCTCCGTTAAGCATGAACATGATTTTAAGTTTCATGTTCTGTGCTTTTTCCTTAATGGATTGATAACTTCAAACAACAAACGTCGGCTGCAGGTGCAAGGATGATGGGCAACCAAGGAGAGTCCCACTTCGTTTCTGCAGCGACAAGGTGGAGCAACTGGGGCTGCAGTTCACATCTTTCGACGAAACATTGAGAAATGCTGTTTCAAGTTTGCAAGCCAAAGGAATGCTGCACAAGAAAACTAACATTCTCAAGTTGGGGAGTGTACAACCCTGCAGCTTATCAAGTAAACAGCTTATCCAGTCCTGCATCTGAGGCTCATACTAGTCTAGGTGCAATTCCAATGACGAGAACCTTGGCCAAAACTTCAACCTAAAGGACTTAATAAATCCACTTGCAGCTGCGCATACAAGACATTACTTTAAATGGGCTTTCTATCCTAGACATCTACTTCTTTATTCCTTTCCTTAGATGCCAATAGTAGGACTTTTTTGTCATAGGTGAAAGACGTTAAGATGAATATCATCTAGTGCAGCAAAAGCATGAACCGATACCACAACGGGGATTGAACATCTTCACCTTGTCCTAGCTATTGCCACCTCTACATCCTTTACAAGTTTATATTACATACCAAAGTTTCAGTCAACTGAGTTCATAATATCTCGTGCAACAAAACAATTATTTTCTAATAAGAACTGGCATCAAGAACTGTCTGGAAGTAAGAAGAAACTTAGGATGATTAAGAAAAAGCACCCAATAAGAAGTATCGAATGAAATACACCAGAAGCGAAACCCACAAACCACCAGTGCATTCTAGACTTTTCGGGGAATGTAAAATAGTCTTGCCCGAAAACAATATACAAAGCTTCAGAACTTCCGACTCTGAGTGTGATGCAACACATTTCCTCTGCGTTCCTGAAGATTATCGACGACTTTTAAAAATGCACATGTAAGCCTACAGGGAATAAAGTTATTCCCACAACTGTCAAGATCCACTTAAATGCGGAATTAGGAACTAAATTTACTGACATGACAAGCTGTATTACTGGCCGATTGTCCACTTTTGCACACAACGGCTGGAAAAGCAGCAGGCTGTAAAATAGCCAATCTTAGTATCTGCGAAAGGCAGCTAGTCCATAACTCCAGCGAGGTGTGCCTCCTAAATTACACTACGTCCAGCTAACAGTCCCACTCCAATTTGCTTTCAGAAAGAATAAGTTGGATGTCAAAGCCCTTGGAGGGTGAGTCGCCTTGCTTCCCCACAAATTCCCTTGACTGTCTTTGGCCCTCGTTCTCGTCCTCGTCCATCAACAGCTCCCTGTCACCCACAACAACTTCTTACCCTTTAGAGTGACTGCACATTCCTGCCATTGCATGACCTCATCCGTCGCTTCGGGACGCAAGTGGACCCTGGATAAGGAGTCTCTCTCTCCCTCACTCTCGCTCTCATTTGGGGGAGAATGTGTTGGCATGTGTAAGGCTCACATACCCCATTTTGGATTTGATCTACAAGCTAAAGAGTTACTATCCAGTGAGTTAAGGGAAATTGTATTAATCCCTCTGCCAGCTTTCGAGCTTCGCCTTTCGGACAGGCACGCAGAAGATGCCGCGCTTCATCATCAGTGACGGAGACAACTGAAGTACAAGGACTAAGAGGGCGCAATTCGTGAGTTGGGCAGTTGAATTCGAGATGAGATTATTGAGCACTGAATGCCAGGCTCTCAATAATCTTGCCACAAGAGGGTATAAAAATCAGGGAAGTTTGTAATGAGTAGGTGGTCTACATCTCTTTTAATGGCAGTTACACGTTCGTATTGATTTCATTAAAGAGATTACGAGGAAAAAAGAAAAAATACATGGAAGTGAGTTCTAACTCTACTTCAAAGATCCGGGTAATGGTACATTAAGTATGACACAACGTCCCATTAAACAAGTCCACCAGTACTTTTAAAGCTCAACAGAGTACCCAGTCTCACTGTTTTCTGACACTGAGTGATTAGTAGGAAAATGTTGGTGACCAAGTTTGTCGTTTCCACCAGAACATGTAGCCACCTACTTGCATTCTGAAATTAACAAGAAGCTGAACTACTTCTGATTGTAAGCAACCACTCCAATTCAAAGACACTCCTAGGTTATAAAACATTAACCAGAGGTACTGATTGGGTTGCTGGCCGTAATAAACCTTCGAAAGACCTTGGATGGGAAAACAGAAACAAAGAAAAATAAACTGAACTGTTGCTCAACTGTGTCCTCCTCCAAATCTTTTGGATAAGTTGGTCTGCAAACGCTCCCCCCTAACGCGCATATGGTGTTAGTTTCTAGAGGCTCAGCTGTTTGCTTCTACTTCAAAAAAACCAGCTGGCATGCATATCAGCCAGCAGCACCAGCTTATACCTAAAATACCTAGCGAAACCACAATCGACGTTGTTGCTAAATGCTGGCTCTACAAAATAAATCTCAAAGTAAGTCGACGAAATTGTTGAATTCTCAGACCTGGAGCGGCCTACTAGTATACAAATGAGCAACAACTTTAGGATCTAAAAGCTCTATTGAAAGCAAGAGCACCGACGAGGGCACTCACATTCTACACCTGATGGTTTGAAACATCCATGCGGATCGCCCTTGCCGGTTGCAATGATAGACCAAGTAAAATGGAGAGGACAATGAAAATGATGTACAAGCACTTTAGAGGCAGATAGTTCTACTCTGTCTGACACCTCTGTTCCTACTGCAAAAAAGCTCCACCAATCCTATTCAACCTAAAACTGTATGAGACATTATCAACTCCTCATCGAAGACACTACGTTGTATGTGTTCCTGACTCGCCCAGATTGAGAGGATGTCCTATCTTCAATCAATGACTTCCAACGAGAACCTTCTTTCAACTGCACATGCAGAAGCACAATCCCTTATTGTAATCTCTCGATGCTGCCTTGCTCACACTGCAAACCCCCTCTTACACTACGTATCTAGACTACTCTAAATCTACTATAGACAAATTCCAAGAACGAATCCTGTAACGCTCAACAATTGCTCTTCACGCCAGGCAACGGACCTTCGGTCTCTCTACCTGCAGACAACTTGGTGCAATCACTAAAAAGCAGGTTCTTCGTGGTCACTCGCAACTCTCGCTACGTATTTTTATCATTCACCGACGTCATGAAATCCGCCAGTCCATGCCGCCACGCACGGCAATCAAACTTTTTTGCCTCCGCAGCCAACCATGGAGATGACTTCACTCAACTCTGAGAGATTTCTGCGCTTGTTATCTGTGATTGCTAGCACTCGGTGCTGACAATTGACGCCATTTCGCTAGCCCACGATTTGAGCTGGCCTTTCATATCGATGCTAGGATCCAGAAATGGGGTGTTCGTAAGCGGGGAATCAGGGCGCCGAGGCCAAAGCAGATGCTGGACAGGAGGTGCCCGATTATGAGGTAAGGCGTTCTGGTTCGGGTTCACATTATGGGCCGGATTCTTAGAAAGGCTTTGAGGGGAGTTGTAAGGAGGAATGCCTTGTCGTTCCAATCCTGGGAACATTCTAACGACGTGTGGTGTGAGGTCGTCTTTGCTGACCTCGAACCCAAGGTCCTTCCACCCGCGAAGCTCTTCGTATTCCAAGTCGGTCAGGCTCTTCGTGCCCTTCAGCCTCCGCCGCCGAATAGTCTTAGTCGCGTGCTTGATCGGCACCTGATCACTACTGTTACTAGAGCTTTCTTCCAAAGGTCCTCTTGAATGACGCCCGGGATTAATGGAGCTAAGCTTCGCGGGGCGTACGGCGACCATTCTTTCGAAGAGACCATTCTCCATCTCTTCATCCTCCGTCACGCCCACCAAAGGTCCCGGAGGACGAGCAAGCGGGGAAAACTCGTCCATGTTGCTTGCCCAGCTGCAATATCTAGAATGATCGACAGTGACAAACTTAGTCGGAGTTAGCGGCAGACTAGAGGTCTGCGCAGTTGACAGGTCTGCGATCCGACGATTATGCACCTCGCCTCCAAGGGTCTGTCTCCGAGGATTCGGGTCCCTCTCCATGAATCCCCTAAAATGCTGCTCTCCATCAGCAACACGACGGATGTCCAGCCGCGAGCGAGGGGGGTTGAGTGACCTTTCCCCATTCCACAGCCGCGGCTTGACAGCCCCACTAGCCACATCCCCTTGAGTGGTGGAAAACGCTATCGGTGCAGCCTCCCGTCGTCGGAAAGGTGAATCAATTTCTTTGTCAATAACCCCCGGTGGTGAACCAGGCCTGGACGTTGGCCACTTCACGACATTGTCGCAGAACCATTGCTCATCCAACTGCTCCAACACAAGCTCCGCCGCTTCATTCTCCTCGCGCGTGGCACTGCTACTGCCACTGCTACTCGGCGGCGCTGCCATCGCTCCAGAACCACTGCCTATTCTCAATCCCGACTCATGGGCGACATCTCCGGCCACAGGAGTTTCTGCGGCCGACGAAGAAGGTCCTTTATGCCCCTCTCTACCAGCCCAGCACCACTGCAGACCGCGCCTTGGCGACAAATCCGACATCTCCAATCCTGATGCTCCCAGAGAGTATCACTTAGCCTTCAATGCACCTCTCTCGCAGCCTCCGCTTCTTCAAAGGGTGTGTGCTCCCCAATCCAGGCTACACCGATACTCATATTCTCGCTTCCGCTTCCTGAAGGCATTCTCATTTATTCGCACTCCCGTAAGCATTTCGACCTGCATCCAATCCACGCAAACCAGTTCGATCAACAACTCGCACAATTTCCTCCACTCTCTCTCTCTCTCTCTCTCTCTCTCTCTCTCTCAAAACCTCCTCCCCTACAGGCAAGACCAAACACGAAATCCACTTTCAACACTTTCAACACGAGATCCTGACCTGGACACAGCGCGCCGCCTCTCTCCAAAATTCAGACCCAGTAACGTCGACGAATATGGATCCACCCTGAGCCTCTTCAACTCCAAAACTACCACCCTTCCTAAACACCACTAAACACACCAAAGACTTCAACTACACACTCTACCCAAACTACTCTACTGCAATCTACACACTAAAATTAAGACTAACACTACAAACTACACCTCCGAGACTACCGTCTACGCTACCAGCACTGGCAAACAGGAGCAACCCAACGACTCCGACCTTGAACAAAAAGGTAGAAGGGAACCAGCGACTAGATGCTTGCACACCAACAGCATGATGCTGATGATGATGATAATGATCGTCGTCGATGGCCTCACCGATCAATTGGAGGTCTGAACAGCATAGATCTACACTGTCTGATAACCTCCAAATTTAATTCCAACTGTTGGGGTTCGCGAGAGCGACGACTGCGCGCAGGACGCGGCTGCTGTGCATTGGAGGGGAGGGGGTGGGGGGGGGGGGCGGGGGGCGCGGCCGGCTGCTCTGGAATGTTCTCGCGTGGCAGCAGGACTTTACTCCAATGAGCTGTAACGAGGTTTCCGCACTCTTCTACAGTGCTCTTCGCCTCTCCTCTCCTGGGCTTCTGCTACTGCTCTTCTTCTTCTACTACTCTAGGAGCAAGAATTCTGACTCGCGCTGCCTGTCAACGTTGCAAAATCACCACTTGTGCCAGTGTCATAGAGCATGACTCTCTCTATATCTCTGTCTCTCTTCATTCGTGGCGCTGGCTCGTGCCGCTGGTTTTTATGCCTGCGTCTCTACTCTCTGCCAAAGAAAACAAAACGTCACGCCCCTCCCTCTGCTTGTCTGTCTGTCTATGGCTGGCCACCCCCATCAACACCATGCAAAACAAAACTCTCTGATTAAACAAACATATGTTTTTTTTTATTCTTTTAGTTTTTTTGGTTTTTTTTGGTGTTGTTACAAAATGACATTGTTGGTATTTCTTCTACGGTGCGGTCTGTTTGTTTTTTTACCTGTTCGGCATTTGGTGGTAAAAACTTCAGGATGGGTGTTGAATTGAATGTGATGATTGCTGCTGTTAAGGTGAGATGTACAATGATTCTGAGATTCTTAATGATTGATTGTGCGATATAGTTGAGGGGGTTTGAGCCAAATCGTAAGGGGAAAATGTACATGATGAAATGTTGAATTTGCAGAATGAGAAAAAGTTACGGAGGGGAAGAAAAAAGTTTGAGTATTTTAACGTTATTGGAATGTGATAAGGAAAGTGTGCTTCTCTGTGATGAACACAGATGTCGTTACCGTGTCCCCAAGAGAAATCCAAAAAACTATGTGTTAAATTTAGAGATTAGTATATTCCTAAATATTATATATATATATATATATATATATATATATATCGAATCAAATGAATACGTACAATGCAATACGTTAATATAGATCACAAATCCCCAAGTAATGCAGTCGCAGCAAGAACAATGTCAAACTTCAAATAAATAACAACGCAGATGAAGAACCAAACTTTCTATGCATTCCAGAACTTAAAGAACTAAGTCAAACTGTCACATTCCACTCATTTATCCATCAATTTTAGAAAAATAATATTGAGTTCTCCAAGTCAATTTGCAGCTACAAAATAAAATTCAGAACACAAATTGTCTATCCATGTATTCATTGTCCAACATTCAACTTATTTTTCCTTAGCTTTAGCATTTCTAGCTATTTCGGTTGTTCTTCTCTCCTTTTCTTCCACAAGTTTCTTTTTCTGTATTCTTTTCTACAAGATGTGGGTCCAGTGCATAAAGTCAATGGCTTGCAATCACACTATACCAGTACTCTCATCAATTACCATAACTTTTGGTGACAGATGAGGGAAACCTGCAGTTGTGTGCTTGTGAGAAGCTTGTGTACATTAGTTAATGAGGAAGGGGCAGAATGGGAGCAGACAAATGTGCTGGAATGCATGACAATGCCCTCTCATGCCTCTCTTCTTCCCCCTTAAATTCCCACAATTTCATACACAATTTTGTTTTCTGGTGCTTAAAATTTCCCATTCATTTATTTCAACAAATTTGTAATGAACACATGTGGTGACCAAAGCAGGATTTGAGAAGTTGGAAACTCTTTGCAAGTCTCCCTTGTTGTCTGTATTTGATGAGGTTGGAAACCATGGTGAATAATGTGTGAACATAGATTTTTCTTAATTTTTCATTGAGTATGTTCTATTTATAATTCAGCAGTGGTGATTTTTCCAGCCTGTAAGTACAGACTTTCAAAGCACCATCAGATTGTTGAACACACAAGGATTTTTCTTAAGGTGTGAGTCAAGGCTCACATGGATTACTGGGCAAGTCAATCAAGCAGACAAAACAATGAATGAAGGCTGATCTTCAGCATGTGACATTGTGACCCCAATTATAAACACACACACACACATATATATATATTTATATTTATTCCAAGCAACTTGGTATTGAATGATTCACAATCAAACAAAAAACCCTTCAGCTCATGCAGACTCACTCATTCAGTCATTGATTTCTAAAATAGAGTTTGTCATGGGCTAGAAAACAACACTATCATACCAGGTTGAGGTAGTATTAACAAGGGAATAAAGTATCATTTGTCTAGGTTTAGACTGCAGAGATGAGGAAGAAAAAAACCATTCATGATAATAAAATAAAACAACAATAATAACAGTTCAAAAATGTGACAATCATTTGCTGCATGATTTGCTTGATCCAATTGAGGATCTGGCCATGAATAATAATGCATCCTGATCAGAATGAAAAATAAAAACCCATATGGAGACACTTGATGTGTTGCTCTTTTTTTGTTATGCAGTGGCTAAGCAACTGAAGCAGCCAGCTGTGATGCAGTCAAATAGACTCCAGATGAACACTAAATCAGACCAAAAATATATATATTACCCATGCGACTTCTGGTTTTCATCCCAGATACAACAAATGTTTTTAGCTTCAAAGCTTTTTGAGAAATGTTGAGTCCTATGGATCAAGTTTCAATACTTCCAAAGTGGATTCTTCTCTTTCCAACTGTAGGTTTGGTTAGTGTAGTCAAAGATGCTCATTCATACAATAGGGAGCTACTTGTCTCATAGCTCTGGGCTCAAAGGCCATGAAAACACACATAAAGCACAAGGGCTATAAACCCTAAAAATCAGAACCCACTGCCAGTTGTACATGTGTGTATATATATATATATATATATACACACATGCATTTCTGCAAGTGTTTGTACTATACAATACCTTTCAACACTAGTCATTTATCAGTTTCTGTTATACACAGAAAGGATAGTATGTGCTAATTATACAATCATTTATTAACTTATCTTCATCCATTCTTGTTGGATAAAATGTCCCAGATTGATGGTTTTTACACGTTTAGTTCTATCATTGTGATTTGTGGTACTTTTGCACATGATAATGAAATTTTTAAGAATGATTAATTTACACATTTTATTCTACATATACTTATGTATCTCACTCAAAATGTGTGATTCTGTTTGTTTTACATTTGATCAAAACTTTACAAACATATAACATTAGAAAGCTAGAACAAATAAGTATGCCACCTTGTGTATGATAACTATGAAGATATATGGATGCGTATCAGAAACATTCATTCTGTGATTCTTTCTGCAACCTTGTGACTTAAAAAAAGAATAAAGAAAATGGAGAATGTGATTGCCACCTATCTACCATAATAATAAACAAGTAAACAAAAGAAAAAAGATGGGGTTCTCTGAGACCAATTACCAATTTTCCATGGATTAAACATACAAGACACCACTAAACTAATGAACCCTAAACAGTGTGAGGAATAAGGCAACTGAATTAGAGAAAAACCCAATAATCCCCTCCAACATCAAAGTCAGTGAAGGTTGACTGCAATCCCACTCAGCATCCACAATGCTGTTTTTTGTGGGCACTAATTGTTGCTATATACTGCAGGATCATGACCCATTTGCTCAATTTAGATTGATGCCCATAAGTTCCAACCAGGAATATTACAAAGCACCTTCTCACTTCAGAATATCCTCGTAATCTAACATACTATTAACCCACTTTTTTCCCCCATCCTATATGCATCCATACTTTCATTTTTCATTGCCTGGGTCATCCCTTGTTAATCATTATAACCATTGTTCATGTGGATATGATAATGTTTGTTATTTCTATTGTAAGAACCATGACCAGGACTTTCTATATCAGTGCCATGCTGTTCTTGTGAATGGGGCATCAATGAAGGTGTTGGATTCCACACAAATGAGGTGTCTCTCCAGAGAATATTATTCATGGGAGCATCTTCCTCTCATTTGCTCACAGCAGGCACCATAATAAGCATTCGAAACAAAACACCACCATGAAAGAGGATACAATATTTCGCATAAAGAATTACAGGCTGAAAATACCTCATTCTTATCATTCCACAACTCCAAGTTTACCACCCATCATTTGTTCATGGAATCTTTATCTTTTCTAACAAGTATAAATATATAGGGTCATTCACACAGAATGGGGGGAGGGGTCAAGTAGTGTTGTATGGTACATGTTGGTAAATGGATCATAATATGCCATATCAAATTACAAGCTGCCTGATAAACTACTGTGAAAGCTCTGTGCCACTCTCTCATGCACATACAGTGTCTACGCATACACACTCACTCTCTATATGGGTTAATAATAACAATAATATATATATATATATATATATATCACCAAGGAAGCTGTAACAAGAAAGAAATAACTTCTGTCCAAAGCAAAGGCCATTGTTACTCACTCTTCTAGCTTCCCAGACTTTCTTCAATTGTATTCATTCCTGTTTGAAGACAATGAGTGACAACAAATAATGGCTTCCCTTCTCTACCCCTCCCAAACAGACAAAAACTGGACAAAAAAAAAAAAAAAAAAAAAAAAGGAAAGAAAAAAGAAAGAATTAATAAACTCTTTCCACTAAAGTTTGAAGTATTGTCTTCTTGTCATGCTTTATGGCCACTTTGTTCACATGCAAATGTTTCAGCCTTGTATGTCACATTTTTAGCCATGTTTTTCAGACTTTTCTACGCAATAGGGTCATAGCTAATCTTTGGATGAATATGTGTGTGCATATGTCTGTATGTATACAATAGTAAAAAAATGTTATTTTTATCTTATTTTATAAAGCAAATGTAGAGATTCTCTTTTGGTACTATTCTGTGACAAGGACCACCAGTGCAATTATCAAATGAAAATGTGTATTCACATGTTTGTGTAAATCTCAAAGAAAAAATGTACATATATCAAGAAATAACATATATCCTCATCCACATTTAGATGCATTAATCTTTAACTTTTCTTCACAATTTTATTACTCCTTGGTGCAATAGAAAACACACTGTTAGTCCTTTATAGATGATTTAGTGACACATTCTTATGTTCATTCA